CCCACATCGGGCTTCCTGCTCAGCGAGAAGCCTGCTTCTCCCTCTCCCACTCCCCCTGCTTGTGTTCCCTCTCTCGCTGTGTCTCTCTCTGTCAAAGAAATAAATAAAAAAATCTTTAAAAAAAAAAGGCCACTAGGAAGGAAAGAAAAACTCCCATCCGTGAGGGATTTGGCATAGATGACACACTCTTTGTACAGAGTTATTTATCTTTGGAATGAAATATCAAGGATAATTTTCTGCCATGTTCCTTGAAGTATTTTTTTAAATGCAGAATTCTGGGGTGCCTGCCTGGGTGGCTCAGTCGGTGAGGCGGCCGACTCTTAATTTTGGCTCAGGTCATGATCTCAGGGTCCTGAGAACAAGCCCCACATCAGGCTCCATGCTGCATGTGGAGCCTGCTTAAGATTCTCTCTCTCTGCCCCTCCCCCTGCTCATGCACTAAATAAAAATATAAATAAATAAAATCTTTTAAAAAATTAAATAAAATACAGAATTCCATAGTACTTCACATTCCCCATCCTCCATATAATTCCCTGCCCCAGCCACTACCCCCAACACTTTATTTTTGCTTCTGGGCCTCTCTCCTTCTGGGCCTAGCTGCCCATCCCTGGATACTTTGCCAACATTCCTTCTTTCTCAGTCTCTCCAATAGCAGCTGCCCCTGTCCTCCCAAGATGTAGCTGACAATTCAAGATATTCTGTTTTCCAGGTCACTCTGTGTCACACACACACACACACACACACACACACACAAACCCACGACTCAAAAAAAAAAAAATACATTTTTACTGCTTGGGCTTCTAGAAGCTGAATACTTGATTTGGGACCGAGTATCTACTCAACTCCTGACATCATAGGAAATTGTTCCCTTGGCCTGAGAGAAGGCCTGCAGCCTGCTTTTCTTTGATGCAAGGTTTCAGACAGGTTTCTATTGTTACAAAGTCTGCATAATCACCATCATATCCTCAGAGCCCAATACTTGGCATATAGCAATGCCCAATGAATCCTTTTTGAATGAATTCTTACATTGCCTTGTACTTTACTATTTACACAGTGTCCGCCAATTTATTCAGCAGAGTCATTAAGAACTTACGATATCCCCGTAAGTTAGCTGTGGTTAATATAATTATTCCCACTTTACAGGTAGAGAAACTGAGACTCTGGGAACTTATGTGACTTGCCTAAGATGACACAGCCAGTCAGTATCAGAAAGAAGACCATTACCCAGTTGTTCTTTCCAGTCCACCTTGCTGTGTCTCATAACTGAGGATTTATCCAAAGAGGAGCAGAATTATACAACTTCCCTAAGGGAAGTTTTTACAGTGTAAAAATCCATAGATTTGACTTCGGGAGTAGAATATATTTAGATTTCTTGGTTGATGCTATTTCCTGGCCTCCAAATGAAATGAGTATGATTAATGTAGACAGCTACACATCTCTCATGTCAGAAATTACTTAGCCATGATCTCTTTCTTCTGGTCTCATTACCCCTGCGACCAGCTGGTTCTGTCCATGTGTTAGCTGGAGAACTTGAACTTGAGGCAAATGAACAAATCAGATGTCTCACAAGGAGTCCCAGATGTCTGGAATTTGCCCTCTCTCCTGCTCCAACAGATCTATGACCTTTTGATTTGGAACTATTGTAGATGTTTAGGGAAACTGTGCTGTTCAAATCAAGGGCAAATGCAAACATATACACATTTGTTAATTTTATGTCTTAAATGCCCATATTTCAGCTCAGTGGTCTCATTCTTCCAGCCTATTCACTATTCATTTATTTATATGACCTTGTTATTGCATATCTTATAGGTGCTAAGTATTGTGTTAGGTACTAGAATCCAACAATGAATAAAATGCAGACTCTGCCCCCAAACTCAAGTATAGAGCTGGAAGAACCAGAACATGACTTATCCTTTTTTTTTTTTTTTAAGATTTTATTTATTTATTTGACAGAGACACAGCAGGAGAGAGATCATGAGCAGGGGGAGGGGCAGAGGGAGAAGCAGGCTCCCCGAGGAGTGGGGAGCCTGATGCAGGGCTCGATCCCAGGACCCCGGGATCATGACCTGAGCCGAAGGCAGTCGCTTAACCAACTGAGCCACCCAGGCGCCCCTTATCCTATTTTCTGCTACAAAAGCATACTGGGGAGAAAGAAATTAGGTTGGTTTCTAATGCCAGCATGAGAGCTCTCCACCAAGACCCATCATTGATGAACACGTAGGCCTAGCCAGATGCTGGGTATTTACACAATCGATTCACGTGAGCACTAGGTACATTAGCACCTACATGATGTAGCACCCACAGTAGGATTTTTTTCAAGAACACAAGCCAATAATTGCTCCAGTACAAAAGAAACATTTATTTCTGGGAGTCTGTATCTGCTTGGTATGTTGTCATTCTTACAGTAACAAGAACGGACTGAGCCTAAGATCGAATCCTTCATCTTTTAATGTTTCTGCTGCTTCTCGCTAACTTTTGCAATTATTCCCTTCCCTCTAGGTGACGATTGCTCTGTTTTCAGTCATGATCTTCCCAGTTATATCAAAGATAATTTCGAGTCAGCAAGAGTCACTGAAGCAAACTGGGAGACCATTCAAGGTGGGGTGATAGGAAGTGGCTGCGGGCAGCTGACGCCCTACGCCCATGGAGACTCACTCTATTTTAACGGCTGTCAGATAAGGCAGGCGGCCACCAAGCCTCTGGATCTCACTCGAGCAAGGTAACCAAACTTCCGTGTTGTGGTTCAGACACAGAACTGGCCACAAGACTGGTCATTTCCCGCTGTCTGTTAAATACAAGGGTGAACGTCACGGCATGGGTATCGCGAAGCCGTGGAGACCTAAATGTCACTTGAATTTGGTAGGAGGAAGCAGTGTATGTTTTCACAACTCAGAATTCTGCTTTCCTTCAATTTACTGTAGAATTACCTTGTTTTTCTTTACGTACACTGGCTGAGTGGTGGTGACATAGTCATAAGCCAGGAGAAATGGCCAAATACAAAGAACTGATAAGTCAGTCAAATCAACATGTTGTATACCTTAAACCTACACAGTGTTTTATGTCCATTATGTCTCAATGAAGTTTAAAAAAAGTAATGAAAAAAAAAATTTTAAGTTGGCTGTAGATAACCTATATAGATAATTTCATGTTGACTATTTGCAAGTATGTAAATATAAATGTATATGTGAAGTAAATTTGTAGTCAGGCAGACATATATACCTATATTTAGCATATGCAGTTTCAATAAATGGAAATGGAGGATCAGTGAATGGACGGGAACTTTAAAAATCACATGTTCTTGGAGCTGGTTATTAATGCCGAGTAGAGTGGACAGAGACTGCAAATCGACAAGGGAAGAAAAAGAGACCCCAGGAAGGTTGGCTTTCCTTCCCCACCTGCTCATTCCCAGCTCTGCCACCTCCTTTTGTCTGTGTAATTCAAAAAAAGATTCCAAGGCTTTATGAAGATTGCAAAATACTGGACTAGAGTATTCACTGACTGCTGCAGAGTGTTCAGGAGCTACAAGGATTTTGAGAATTAGATGCTTGGTTAAATAAAAATGTAGACATTTACTTAAGGCTTTTGACATTAGAAAATATTAGTAATGTATTTTCAGAGGCAGAAAGGCAAGTTTAGGGTCTTTTGGTATGATAAACAATGAAAATACAATGAAGTCCTGTGTGATAACTGTGGAGGTACCAAAAGTTATGTTCACCCATCCCGTGTTTTCCTGCCAGAAAGATGGACTTAATCTGGGACAGCCTGATGTTTCCCTGGACCCCATATACAGCTGCAGGTAGCTGCTTAATGAACAACTGCACGCCATGTTGTGCGAGCAAGTTTGTTTTAATTTATGCATTCACAAGTGTTAAGTCTACTGCCTTATGTCACCAGGTCCCGTAAATGGCACTACTCTACTAATCACTAGGACTCTTATTAGGGTAGATTTCCTATGTTTAAAAACTGTATCTTCTGGGGCGCCTGGGTGGCTCAGTCATTGGGCGTTTGCCTTCGGCTCAGGTCATGATCCCAGGGTCCTGGGATCGAGCCCCTCATAGGGCTTCCTGCTCAGCGGGAAGCCTGCTTCTCCCTCTCTCATTCCCCCTGCTTGTGCTCCTGCTCTAGCTGTCTCTCTGTCAAATAAATAAATAAAATCTTTAAAAAAAAACAACTGTAACTTCTAAGGGCAAGGATGACCATGAGGAGCAAAATGACACTTCAAACAGAGTAACAGACACGGTCCAGAGCCTGCATGTCCAACTCAGTTTTCCCTCCGCTATGATCTCCAAACATCCTCTCCTAAAATAGACATGATGATCTATCCTTGTGTAGATGCTGTTCAGCTTGGAGCTATTTGGGGGGCGGGGGGAAGGATGTAGTAGAAATATCCTGGTTTTATTCCTGGTCCTCTCTATGTCCTCATGCTTATTTGGCCCACATTACCTTCCAGAGAATAGAAGGTATTTGGGGCAAAATACTCTAAGACAAGAAGAGCACAGGCCTTTTGAAAGTCAAAATTGTTTTCTTGGTGTAGAAAACCCACCTTCTGAGATGACTTCTCATCGGTAGGAGGTAAAGGTTAATATAAATACATTTTTTTATTAACACGCCTTAGTCCTAAGACTGGATGCTTCCATTTCTACTCTCTGACCTCAGAAATTAGCAAAGGTTAAAAAGAACAAAGTAGAAAGCATAACTCTTCTACTGCTCCCTGACGCGCGTCTCCCTGTGTTTTCAGCAAAATCATGTTTGTTTTGCAAATTGGGAGCAGTGCGCAGACGGACAGCTGCAACAGTGACGTGAGCGGCCCGCGCGCCGCCGACAAAGCCGTGCTGCTCCAGTACAGCGTCAACGGCGGCATCAGCTGGCACGTGATCGCGCAGCACCAGCCCAAGGACTTCACGCAGGCCCAGAGGGTGTCCTACAACGTCCCCCTGTAAGTGGCCCGACCCCTGGGGATCGCCGAGATTGAGCTCCTGCGCCCACACCGCCCAGTGGGTGGTGGCGGAACCGAGCCGCAGCCCGAGCTCCAGAGCTGGGTTGCTGTTTCCCGTGAGGCCGGGAGGAGGCGCACGAGGGAAGAGAGCGTGTCGCTGAACGCAGGGGCGCCGTGTGCCTGTTTCCCTTTCTCTAGCGGGTATTTCTAGTCCTTTAGAGAAGAACGTTTTTTCATTTTCGGGGTGCACTCCTTTGAAAGTTTTCTGCGGCTAGGCAACGGTGTCACTTTGGTTCGGCACCGCACCCCCAGTTCTAGCACAGCGCCTGTCACACAGAAGGCATGGCCCGTACGTGGGCCGAATTCGGTGCCCTTCCTTCCAGCTGCTGCCGGAGCCCGGGGAGGCAGGGAGGGAGAGGGAAGCGGACTACACGTCCTTGAGTCGCCACTAAAACTTAATGCTGCTCAGAAGAGTACCGTGACCTAAGCAAATCCGAATTCCGTACCCTCAGTCGTGTTGATTTAGACTGGCCTGTTATCTTTGAGGTCTGGAAATGGCATACCAGAAAGTTTTGTCTTCCAGCGCGTAACCTCTTTGTCCTTCTGTGACCCAGGGAGGCACGGATGAAAGGAGTTTTATTGCGCTGGTGGCAACCTCGCCACAATGGAACAGGTCATGATCAATGGGCTTTGGACCATGTGGAGGTCGTCCTGTGAGTATCTGATACATAGCGTCCCATGTCCATTTCGGGAAGGTTTGAAATTCTTTTGCTATGGCACGCTCCTTAATTCAGTAACAACCGTTCCTGATGAGAAGCCCCCACGAGACTTTGGCCTATGCCCTTCAGCAACTGCAATCTGTAGCTCGAGTCAACCTGAAGTAGCAAAGTCCCCAAAGCAATTTAATATGCCTTAGAAAACTTCGATAAGCAAAAGACGTATCTGCGGATTTGACCATATTAGTGAAATTGGATAACACAAAAGTCTCGAGGTAAATGGGAAACAATGTCTTTGCCGCATCTGGGTTGCCTTATGAGATGGCATGACATCCTGAAGAGAGAAGGGGTCTATTGCTAGCTAAGGCGCCCAGTTACAAACACCTGTCTGAGCCACAGATGCCCAAGGCATACTTCCGTGCGATGACGCGATGGCCACTGGAGCGAGGAATTTGTGGTTTCAGATCCCCCCCTGACCAACCCCAGCATCGAGCACGTGGAGGGTGTTCCCCCGTGGTTTCTCCCATATAATAAAGTTGGCACTGCTCTCACCTAGCCGGGTTGACTGTTCTGCAGAGAGATGACTTGCTTTTTCTCTAACGATCTAGTTCCTGTAGAACTGGAATGCTTATGTCTCGACGGGTTCGGACTGATGGCTCCAAGTGGTTGGCAAGGAGAGGCGAATCTTCTCGGTAGATAGGTTCAAATGTTCATTCTGTTTACCAAACCGAAAATGAAATCAGTCCTTTGGCTGATTTCAGTCATTTTGAAAGCAAACTTAAATGATTGATTGGTAGGCAAACTACCAGATTTGTTTTCTTTCAATCATAGCCATGAGCTGAATTTTTCAGCCTTGAGTTAGCCCTCGTCTTAGTTTTCACTGAGGCACCTGCTTGCATGGCATCCATATCAACCCCCAAATCCAAGAGCAACCTGGTCCCTACACAAGCCCCCACTGTGCGCTCTGCTGCTTTGGACAACTTGCTGGGCTCTGCCTCCACAAGACAAAGTTGAAGTTTAAAAACAGTCCAAACTCATTTGGATCTATACATGAGGCTGATGTTTTACTTAGACGTTGACTTCCTCAGAACACATTCTTCCAGGAGAATAGAATATAACCTGGGCTCTAAAATGCATACATATATATAGTAAGGCCAGAGATATGTCCAGATAGACCAAAAACCAACCCTACAACCTTTCTGCCCCAACTACTCTCCTTTCAGAGCAGTGCTTCTCAATCTGATTGAACATCAGAATCACTTAGGAGCTTTTGGAAGAAGCATCCCTACAGATGATTTGATTTTAAATTGATCTACAGTGGGACCTGAGCATCAGTCTTTTTTAAAAGCACCTCGGGTGATTCTAATAAGCTGGTTGAGAATCAGATTTAGAGTCAATAAACACTTTTTATCTTTCAAGTCTCTTGCCAAGTCAGTTTACATTAATGGGGCTTCCTGTGCCTGACAAAGCCTTACCAACTTCTATGGAAACTTCAAAACTTGACAGTCCTCAAAAGAAGGCAGTTAATACTGCCCTGGGGTAGACATATCATATGTGCGAGTAGCTATTTCTTCTCCTGCCACCCAGCCAAGCAATTTCAGTTATTGGTTTTGGATTTCAGAGGCTTATCATCACCATAATACCCTCCCTTAGACAAAATTAAAGAGCAGGTGGGCTCAGCTGTGCAAATATCCTCCCCTGGTATGAAACAACCCCTTTGCAACTTTGAAGCAGAACTCTGTTCTTTGTTCCCTATCCTGGAATGCCTGGTGTTGATACTAATTTTTAGAAGCAGCCACCAGCATCATGATATTACTGTAAGAGTCAAGTTCAGATTCTCTGGAATCTATCATATCAATCATACCTATTGTTTCTGGTATTTTTCTGGAGAAATAATCTGTATTTGTAAAGACTTCACTTTGATTCCATCTCCAGAATTTTAGTACTTTCAAGAATTTATCACTTACCAGGCACCTGTCTGCTCTTACCTTGCATGGTTCTCTCGGATTTTCAGGGCACTAAAACATTTTGAGTGAGGAATGAGCATCACCACACATGAATAGTTTCAGTGAATAATTTAAAACTTATAGCTTCACGCATATCACCATATAATTTTATTTTTATATATTACACAGGTAATTTTAAAAGCAAATGCTATCTCTTTAATGACGTTTTAAAATTTGTTAAAATTATAGGAGTCGCTTGGTTTTCTTTCCTTTTCTTTTAATACCAATACAGAGAAAGTATATTTTCAGAACTATCGTTTTGATATTTTGCTCTTGTCTTAGGATTTAACATTTCTATATCACTGTACCCTTTCAAAGTACTTCTTTTCAGAAGAGTCAAAAGTTTTAAGGCATTTACTAATTAATATGCCCTTGATAGCGCTACAGATTAATTACTTTAAGTTACTCATTTGATAAGCTTAAAATAAAAAAGAAAGTTCCAGAGAATTCAGAAAAATAATTTTCCAGAGTGTCTTTCAACCAAATGAGGCGCAGAGAAGCTATCCAAGGCTAATTTCATGATTCACAAATAGTGCTAATTTTAATTTTGCTACAGTGAATGTGTATTTAGAAATAGATAGAATACTCCCATATATCCCTAATAATTCAAAATATCCTCGAATTCACTATACTCTTATATGATAACATTTAGTTATATAAACTAGTATGGCTAACTCCTCAAGTGTGGACAGGAGAGGAGACTGGGATGCAAATCTAAAGAGATACAAGCCCTGCCTAACTGATTACTGCAAAGAGGGCTGCTAATATGTTTTTGCAACTAATGGTTGGAAAACCATTACATTTTTAGAATGTATTTTCTTTTCTGAGTGCAGACTGGCCTAATCTAGCTTTATCACCATAGTTTTGCTTCTGTGCATGTGCAGTAGGGACACATGCTAAAAATCCCTAGAAAGAAAAATTGTGGTCATGCATGGTATCTTGAGTTTAACCTCACTACTGCCCATATTAACTAAGAAGAGAAAAGAGTTTGATGAGAACAAATTCAGCACTTCTGAAAATATTTCAAGGCTTAAGGAATGCATCCTAAATTGACAACATACATAATAAATGTGTAATCTCATGGCTTAATTCTAACATGCTCCATGTGGAAGGATTTGCATTTCATAAATATGGATGTACAGAGTGACAGTCCCCACACCATAAAGATAAAAAGCACCATTTATCATTTAACAAGCAAAGTTACTTATGCTTTATGCTTGTTTGAGAGTGAAATCTTTTCGTTCTCGTGATGTTTTTCAGTAAAACCTGCCCATGAAAAGCACTTCATGATGACTGGCCCCTGCTATTCTGGCATAAAACAGATGGACTGAATTGACAGATGACTTTTTTCCCAGCCTCACTAGCTTACCAAAAGGCCTTATTCTGTAAAGTCTGAACGATGTAGCATAACACAGTCACTGACAATCATGTCAGAAACCTAATTTCTCTGAATTCATTTGCTAGCATAGAACGTTTTTCAGTAAATGTTTGTGAACACACTTGGGCAGACCCCTCACAAGATCCATGCTGGTGGGGTTCTTCTTAGGATAAAAGAAAATTATTGGTCTTAATCTTTTCTCTTGGGCACTCATCCTTCTATCCTAAGAATCTCCCTCACCCAACTATGCATTTCATTCACACATCACATTTTTTTGTGTACATGTTTAAGTCACAACCTGTCATGTGTATAATGAAGTGGGCCAATTTTTGCATGTGTACCTTGAAAGCAAATTGCTCAGTAAAGAGCCTTTGTGAATTGATTTCCTAAGAAGTGAATTTTTACCACATTTACTGGGAATGAAAACCAATATGTTGCTAACTATGGTCTTAAACGCATCTATCAGATTTTAATAATATGAGTACCATCATGACCATCCCCTCATGCTATTCATTATCAAAATACTGTCATTTTTGGCACAAATGATTTATGGAAATGAGCATAGTACATTTGTTGCAAAGCATATTTATCCTTTATTAATTTGACTGTGTTATCTGATGTAGTGGACTTCTGTATTTTTTAAAGCCCATTCCTTAATATATTCAGAAATAAGCATTTTTCTAAAATGTAAATAATTGAAAAAACAGCAAAATTAATGTCAGTTATTAACTACTACTTTCGTATTTATACTTTATACGCAACATTTATGCCAAATGTAGTACTAAGCTACATGTACCTTGACATATGGTTATGAGCAAATATTGCATGTTGCATTACATTAAAAAGTTAAATATATGTATATATTAGGTGTAGAAGAATAAGAAATAACTTCTTTAATTTTTATTTTCAAAAGAGATGAAAAATCCTATATTGCATCTAAACCTGATCAGACTTTTATGACTAATCACAGTGCTGCATGCATTGAAAGGCATTTTTTAACTTGTGTTATATTTCATTATTTGCTGTCATTGGTTTTCCACTAGAGTAAGGTAAGTCCTCTTACTAATTCTGGGTAATTGTTGACCAATAGTTTCATCAGTGTTACCTACATTAAGAGAAGTGTTGTCAAAGACCTTTGCAATTACAAAAAAAAATTTGTGAGAACAAAGTTGTATATGACATTGAGATACACTGGGACATTTGAAACCTATATCATGTAAACTCAGGGTTCAGCAACCTTGTGGCAGTTCTCTAATGTATATGCAATGTTGGGCGTAGACAAAGTGCTAATCAGCATTGCTTCATTGGGTAACAAATTTGACTCTATGCCTGGGACTGTATTAGGTGCTTTTGAAGTGCTCATAGTTTATAAACTTGTGAGGGGAAATTAAAACCAGAAATGTGTGCAAAAGACCTAGGGGCTCTGATTAAATGTAATGTCTTTCAAAAGATCTATTGTGCTGGAGATGAGTGAGGGTAACTTGACTTTTTAATTTTATTCTAAATTAATAAGTGAATTGGCAGAAGGTAGTGGACTTATTCATAATATTGGTGAGTTCTAGATCCTATTCTTAGGTAAGATTTGCCCTCTTTAATAGGTAGCTGCATTTATCCTCTAGTGGAGATACTTTAAGACTTAGGAAAGAAATTAAAATGATTATCATTTATTAATCATCTGCATATTATGCTAGAAGTTTCCATTTAGTCCTTACAATTCCCTGAGGTACATGTTACCAGATATTACTCTCCTTACCACTTAACAGAGAAAATAGATATGAAATCTTCAACATTTGTGAGATATATGAGTCTACACTTATTTCTGTGTGGCCTTCCTGAAAATGCATGGTCTTGAAAGTGAAATATCCAGCATCCTCTATGCAGGGGAGTTTCATTGATTAGTTTGATCGGCAGCTTCTCATCTGACCCTCACCGATATTTCTCTGGAAGATGTGACAATTCACTGAATTCTTATTTCTGCATTCATATGAGGTGTTATTTATTGTATCATATGTTTTGGTAATAAATAAATTAATTACAGATCAGTAAAAATACTTACATTTCTATGAGCTCAGATTACTTCTACCAAGTCTCTGTCTTCCCCATTTCCATAAGAACCCATTAAAAATCAATAGAATTTTTTTCATAATAATTAATGACCTAAGATACTGGCTCCAGTGAGGAGTAACAGTTCAAAAGAGCACAGTCATTCTTGAAAATTCTTGCAATATCCGGGGTGTCTGGGTGGCTCAGTTGTTAAG